AAAAAAAAAAAAAAAAAAAAAAAAAAAAAAAAAAAAAAAAAAAAAAAAAAAAAAAAAAAAAAAAAAAATCTAAAATTCGATAGAGTGAAAACTTAATCATTCGGTATTAGGTGACCATTGTCATGAAAATCACGAATTCGATTCTTAAAAGTCATAATCGGACGAAAATAAAGTGTCTCTTACCTTCCTTTAACCTTTTAAAAAATAGCGGTTTCATCAAATTTGTGGTAAGGAGTTTGAGCTTAGCTAAAATGTGGTCGAGAATAGAAAAAACAGTAATGAACATAGCAAATATCCATTAATAAAGAGAGTGATAGTCTCGGGATACAAATTTTCGGACACAAATTTAGACAAGACAAGAGTAAATTTCGAAGTCTCGGGACACACTATGGCAGGTAGAAGACAAATCTAGGAGGAGACGGCGAGAAATAAGAACAACAAATCAGTACTAACGATCGATATTCCATACGAATTTAATCGAGGGTATAAATTGATACCGAAAAATGAAATTAAAAATTTAATATTTAAGATTTTAAAATATATAGACTAGTACAAGTTCGTAAATGTCACGGAGCTTATCTGCACCAATGTGAGTGAGAATTGAGAAGAAGGTCGCCGTCGGAATACAGTTCAAAGTGGAAGAGCTGTTCATGATCCCTAGTTAATTCCCACTTCCATTCACAGTCTTCTGAGTTTTGATCCTTTCTTTTCTCAATTTTGCGGTTGCTGTTGCGTGTTTAGCCAGCAACAGAGATGGATTCCGACGATAGGATCCCGCTGAGTGAGCGTCCGGAGTGGTCGGACGTTACTCCGCTTCCGCAGGACGATGGTCCGAATCCGATTGTGGCGATCGCCTACAAAGAAGACTTCGCTGAGGTCATGAATTACTTCCGAGCTGTATATCGAGCAGATGAGCGTTCTCCTCGCTCTCTCGACCTCACTGCCGAAGCCATTGCCATGAATCCTGGAAATTACACTGTAATTCCTTTCTCCCTCTCTTTTGTCTGTTTTCTAATTTTTCTTGGAAGTTTGGTGGAGTGGAATTCTGGAACTTGCAGCATCTTTGTATATCTGTTGTTCAAGGACTCGATGGCTGTTTAGATTTAGATTTGTACTTGGACTGGGGTGGATGAGTGATTGATGATGGGCTTCATTTGTTTTAGGGTTTGCTTTTGTCGAGCAGAGCTATCTATTTTAGAATCGATGAATACATTTAGGCAATTTTTTTAAAATTTGAAACTGCTTTGCTAGCCTAGGTAGAATCCCATGTTTGTGAAGTTTCTTTGACTTGAACTAGTTATTGCAATGTTTATACGGAAAGAGGAATGTGTTTAGTTATTCAATGTTGATCTTGGATACTGCAAAAAATGTGTGTTGCTCTCATGTCATTTATCTTTGCCTTCTGTGTCCCAGGGAGAATTTCCTAGGATAATCAAAGGTTTTGTGTGTGGTTACTTGGTTTCATTGAATGCTTTTTGTTCAATTGTTTGGCTAGTTTGGCTCAAAAGAATATGCCTAAAAATAATATAGAAAGAGAGATTCAAACAGGCATCCTAACTTTCTTGCCATTTCCTATAATCTCATGATTTCCTTCAGTTTTTCCTCAACCCTGATGCCTCTTCAAAAGTTCTATTTAGTTTCACTTCTTGTTCCAAAAAAAGAAAAGAAGGACTCCTTCTCTTAAACCTTTTGTGGCCACGCATTCTTCTTATAGGTCTTCTATTTTAAGAGTATGAAAATATTTTCTTCAACATATACACCCTTTAATGCAATAAATCCATTGATTTTGAAAGCCTTTCCTCTCTAAATTTCCAATTGACTCTATCACGTGCTTTCTTTATATCCAGTTTAAAGATCTCCCTTACTTGTTACATATTCTATAATCTTCCACTACTTTCATTTGCAATTAAAATAGGATATGTAATTTGTCTGCCTTTATTGAAGGCGCTTTATCACAGTGAAATTGTTTAGAGAATAACCTCTGCCTCTTTACTTTTAACTTTGGAAGGAGCTTTGTACATGCAGGCCACTAAACTTATGAGTTGAAAATTTCAGATTTTAGGGATGAGAGGAGGGATGTGTGGATTTGGAGTTCTAATCCTTGGAGGGGCTTCTTCTGTACTTCACTCTTTCGCTGTTTATTGGACCCTTCTCCCATTAGATACTGTTTTTTGGCCCTCTGGAAGATCAAGATTCCAAAAAAGGTTAAGTTCTTTGTCAGGCAGGTTATCCACAATCGTTTGAACTACCTGGAGAAATGCTCTGATGAAAAGCATAACCGACCAGAATTTAACAAAGAATAAGGAGGATGGATTTCCATTAGATAATTACCTTTAACTTATAGGAATTGTTGCACTTTGCAATTCACAAACATTTTGACATTCTAATTAGGATTTCTTCTAAAACCTTCAACAGGTTGGATTGTACTTCAACTTGTATCAAGGTGGAAAAGAATGAAAGTTGTTTTCTTCCAACAACAATCAAAATCATGGGGATGTTTCGCCTTCTGTTCCCCATCAGCCCCAAAGTATTATAGGTTAGTCTTAAGTGACTATTTGGATGCCCGAGATTTATTTACAAATGGTGTCAGGACATGAAATGCATCCATGCAACCTTCTTTAGTAACCACGAATGTTGAAAAATGGTTATCTAATAACAAGGGAAAATTTCCTATATTATGGTAGTACGAGTATCACTCCACATTAATTGATTTCCATGCCAACATCTTTTAAGAATGATGTGGGTCCAACGATATTGAATGATTCTTTAAAAAAGAAAATATCCTAGCATGAACCTAGGGAGTAGGTACTACGAGAATACTGGATATTTTTCGCTGATAGCCAAACATCAGTTGGGTTATATGGAAGGCCAATGAATGATCTTTTGGAGGGAAAATACATTTTGATTAATCAGCATTTGTGTCAACCAACCATCATTAGTGTGGAATTTGAAAGTCAGATGGACATATAGATCAAACCCGAGGGATTCGTTAGGAAGCAGAAAGGTCAAGCTGAAGGAAGCTTAAATCAAACCTTCCACCTTCCAATCAGCCGAAAGATCGTTTAAGCTAGAATTTTAAAGGGAGAGAATAAACATTTTCATCTAGTTAAATTTTGGGAAAAACCAACTCATAGAACCTCCCAAAAGAGGGGGATTTGTTGTTGGATATCTGGTTGTTCCTTCCGTTCATAGGGACTATAAAAGCTCCAACAAGCTGTAACTTGAGAAACTCCATCCCATCATGTCTAAATGCTTAAGAATGTAGAACAATGGTCATTTTCGTTGATGAAGCTCAAATGCATGGTAGAGCTGTTTTCTTCGTTGAATTTGTTTTATTATACGTTGACTTTGTTGTATGTAGGCTGAGTTTGAGTTCTTGAGTGCCTTAGATTGTGGGTGTAATATCTAGTTCTACCTTCCGATGTAATATTTTTATTTAGCTATTTTTTGGATAGGAAACAATTTCATTGATGATATGAAATGTTACTGTTACAAAGGGAGAAAAAAAAAAAAAAAAAAAAAA